GTGTGTGGCAAACAGGAGAGTAACGGAGAAAGTCCCGGAAAAAGGATAATAAATATAATTTTAAAAGAAAAATAACGTCGAAGGAAAAATGAATCCAAAAGCATAAAGTGAAAGAAAAAACACCCCCCTAAAAAAAAAAAAAAAAAACAAAACAACAACAGAAAAAAGGAAAAAAGACTTAAATAAGAAAAAAACAAAAAAGAAAACAAAACAATACACTAAACATTGTTGCAAGCAGAACCAGAAAAAAATTAAAAAACGAAAGTTTTTGGGAGAAAGATAGCCAAAAAAAAGAAAAGAAAAAAAGACGTGTGTAATAGTTGAGACAGAGTTTGAAAAAGTCGCTATCAGGAAATATATGGATAAAATCTTCAAATGGCGACCATTGAAAATCAGCTTTTCTCCTACAGAGACAAAAAGTGACAATGTATTGCGAACATTTGTCACGGAAGGTAATATTCTTTGGCTTCAAAGCGCATGCGCACGCACGCAAACAGACACAGACACACACGCATGCGCACACTTACTACTTGTTTATTTCCTCTCCACTCGAAGGCGGACTTGCACCGACGTATACGCATATTTTGTTTAGTTTTCACAAGATAAAAGCTTTTTCGTGCAAAATGCAAATCTCGTTGGCCTTTTAGTTTAAGAAAAAATTTTTTTTTTCATTCCTCTTAGGCGTGGGTGGAAGTAAAGAATGTAGAAAAGCGACCATTAAAAATAGAAGCAATCTTTTTCTCTACTAATATTTTTTATATTTCTACAACTTTTACACCTTTCTAATATTTGATATCTATCTATCTATCTATCTATCTATCTATCTATGTCTGTACATACCTATCTATCTATCTATCTATCTATCTATCTATCTATCTATCTATCTATCTAAGTCTGCTCATATCTATCTATCTATCTATCTATCTATCTATCTATCTATCTATCTATCTATCTAAATCAATTCCTATCTATCTATCTATCTATCTATCTATCTATCTATCTATCTATATCGGTTCATATCTATCTATCTTAATCAATTCATATCTATCTATCTATCTATCTATCTATCTATCTATCTATCTATTCTTTAAAATTCTAATATACACATTTTTTTTTATTTTAAAATTTAATTTTTTTAATTTAAAATTATCGTAATAGATACAAAATTTCTACGTTTGCATTTTTTAAAAATTTCTACAGAATCGATGTCGATTTTTTCCCTCTTTCGCGAGCAAAGTTAAAGATGCTACATTAAAGTTACCGGTGATACGGTTTCAATTCTCGGCGTTTCTTAGAATAAAAAGAAATTGATTTGTAAAAATATTACGTAAGCAGCACAAAACCAAATGTTGAGGATCTTCTTACCCTTTGTTATCTTTTAATAAAAATCTATATTACGAAATCGAAAGATTTTTTTCTTTTGTCAATCATATAGAAAAAGCACGCAAAGCATAAGTTATTTGCTTAGACTTTCTTACAATCTGTTCCTCCCCTACCTTTGTGTACATAAAAATTTAAATGAAAATTAATTATAGAGTCAAAAATAATTATAATTAAATAAAATAATTATAACAATTATCTGTCTATATCTCTGAGATGAGGTATTATGATTACTTGCATTATTTATATTATTCGGACTGTTATCCTCATCTTCATTGTCATATTCACAACGTTTCGGCCTCTATATCTCTGAGATGAGGTATTATGATTACTTGCATTATTTACATTATTCAGACTGTTATCCCCATCTTCATTGTCATATTCACAACGTTTCGGCCTCTATATCTCTGAGATGAGGTATTATGATTACTTGCATTATTTACATTATTCGAGCTGTTATCCTCATCTTCACTGCCATATTCACAACGTTTCGGCCTCTATATCTCTGAGATAAGGTATTATAATTACTTATTATAATTACCGTATTCACAACGTTTCGGCCGTTGTATGTTCCGACCTTCTTCTAGTGATTGAAATTTCGCACCGAAGCCTTTATGGCCCAGCGGATAAAGACGTTGGTTCGATCCAGTGACTCGATCCGAAGAGTTGTGAGTTCAATACCAGACCACAGCAGTTGTGAACCAAAACTTGGAGAGCAGAGTTCAACGGAAATAACTGAGACATCCGGAAGAGGCATGGCACGTGGAACTAGAATAATCCACACCGGCGGACGAAATAACAGTACGAATCATGTAAATATAACAATTATAATTATCATTGATTCACTGATTGTGTTCATTTGACGGAATCTTGTGTTGCATGATCCCCAAATCCACTTGAAATAGGTTTTTTTAAAAAAAAAAAGATTGTTAGATTTAACCTGTCATTGATATATATTTAAATAGCTTTCAAATAACTTCCTTAGTATAAATGTTATACCTGAACGTACCTATTCTATTATTAATAGACTCTCCCATGCATAATAAGTAGTAGTAGTAGTAGTAGCGGTCGCCAGTTGAGCTCAGTGGTGTTGAGTGAGTCAGTCGATGTCGGACATTGAAGTATCAACGACCACAACTAGATTGCTGCGTCATTAACTCCTATTTCAAGTTCCTAACGTTTTGTACGTCGGACCCTTTTAGGACCGACTTAGCGAAATACAAGCCTCCACTGTGAAAACTACTCTACAACAAGAAAGAGCCTGTAAATGCAACAATCCAGAACTGATCATCTAAATATAACCTGATTGTAGATGCGCCAGTTTTGATTAACTTCAAACGATCCTAACTTGACAAATACTTGGAGTTTAAGACAAAAGAGCAGTTTTGAAATCCCCTGACTCTATTTTCAGACTCGATATAGGAAATATCACCAATGAAATATTCCCAGAATGTCAAATGTCCATTTGCGAGCGCAATTCGTTCTGATCTGCTTCACTGAATTATTCGTCAGTTTTACGATAGCTTGGAATTATCTATCTATCTATCTATCTATCTATCTATCTATCTATCTATCTATCTATCTATCTCAGTCTTTTCATATATATATCTATGTAAAGTCTACTTTACATATCTATCTATCTATCTATCTATCTATCTATCTATCTATCTCAGTCTTAATATATATATCTATGTAAGATCTACTTATGCCTATCTATCTATCTATCTATCTATCTATCTCAGTCTTTTCATATATATATCTATGTAAAGTCTACTTTACATATCTATCTATCTATCTATCTATTTCAGTCTTTTCATATCTAAGTACATTCTACTTAAATCTATCTATCTATCTATCTATCTATCTATCTATCTATCTATCTATCTCAGTCTTTTCATATATATATATATATATAAAGTCTACTTTACATATATATATATATATATATATATATCTATGTAAAGTCTACTTTACATATTCTATTCATCTATCTATCTATCTATCTATCTATCTATCTATCTATCTATCGCTATCGCAGTCTTTTTAATATATATATCTATGTAAAATCTACTTATTCCTTATCTATCTATCTATCTATCTATCTATCTATCTCAGTCTTTTCTTATATATATCTATGTAAAGTCTACTTTACATATCTATCTATCTCAGTCTTTTCATATATATATGTAAAGTCTACTTTACATATCTATCTATCTATCTATCTATCTATCTATCTATCTATCTATCTATCTATCTATCGCAGTCTTTTAATATATATATTTATGTAAAATCTACTTATTCCTTATCTATCTATCTATCTATCTATCTATCTATCTATCTATCTATCTATCTATCTGACCAATTTAGACTGCTTCTGAAATTCTGAGCCTATGTATAGCACATATCCCATGGGAAGTGTTCCAAAATGCCAAATCTTTGCAAACCCGCTGTTTTCTGATCTGATTCTCTGAATGGCGTATTTTTTTTGATAGCTTCAAATTGTTGGCAGTAAAAAAAAAAAAAAGTATCGATTCTAGAAATATATGAATATTCATAACAATTAGTAATCGCAAACTAAGAAGCAAACAAATGCAGTCTAGCATTTTGTTGTTCTGAAGAAAAAAGTTTTCGAAAATTAATTTTAAAAATATTAGGACCTAGAAATAGCTGTGAAAATTTCACGTTTTTCTTCTTTGAATTTTCTGACAACTCTTACTTCTTAAGTGAATGATTTTATGGCGAGTTCTACGACAACAAAATATCCGCAAAATTTCCCCTAACACATCAGTAAATATTTGAGCTTAACAACTTAAAATATTGCAATAACAATCATAAATATGAATGCTGGTTGTTATTTTAAGAAGTAAGTGGGTACAAATGAAAAGATTTGAAATTGACAACTATTTTAATTTCAATGAATCATTAAACATGTCTTTCTTTCTTTCATTCATTTTCTCACTGAAGCCAAATAGCATCTCTCATATTCTTTCCAGTCTTTCAACGAGGAATAGTCCATTATTTATGGAGACGTTAAACACTTCTTTCTTTCTTTCTTTTTCATTTTCCAATATTTTTATCTTTCTTTCTTTCTTTCTTTCTTTCTTTCTTTCTTTCTCACTGAAACCACAGAGAGTCGAGTTCCAATTCAGGTTGGGTTCGTTATATTGACTTACGCGCAAATACCTTTATGAAAGGTATGAATCCACCTCTTATTCCTCCAGCTATGGGTTAATTAGTAAGACTTGTATCAATAAATCATTATTATATCCCCCCAATGCCAAAAAAGAAAATCCCTACAATATAAAATTATTTTCTGGCTTTAAATAACTTGGAAAGGATATATATGTATATATAGTCGACTCTTCCGTCGAATTCGACGTATGAGGGAAAAGTAGACCAGTCCCCAGGAAACCGATAGCCCGACAACAGCCCATAAGATTTGATTATAGTGGTGAAGGTTTCGTGCAGGACCATCCCCTTTTGAAGGGTTGATTACAGAGACCTGGTGCACTACGTGCCACAAGGTCCCCAAATGCCAGAGTTGTCCTTCTCCTAGACCAGTTGCCATAGGCATAGAACCCAGGAGTTTTGGATTATTGGAGTGGAATTTGAAGCGGTCCCTAAAACCGCATATAGGCTTCGTGAAACCCACAGGACAACAGTACTGAACAGGACCATCTACACTTTTGAAGGGCTGAATACAGAGACCTGGTGCACTACGTAC